CGACTAAGTGCATATGTGTTTGAGTACATGTTTAATTCCACAGATGTGAGAGAGAAGTTGATGAGTGTGCATCTAGCCCATGTCTAAACGGTGGATCATGTCTGGATCGGCTGAACCATTTTCAGTGTTTGTGTCCAGCAGGATTCAGTGGCCAGTTCTGTGAAACAAATGTAAGAAAACACTGAGTATAATAATAAGCATGCAAATTAGTTCCGTAGTGTTGAGTGTTATTTTTATACCTGCCAACAATAACGAGTTGAATCTCTGTCTGCAGAAACAGGCTCAGCAAGAACATATACCATGGTTGGCCATTGCGGTTCCACTGGCATGTGGCTGTATCCTCTTGGTGGCCATTGGACTAATTTTTATGTTGATGACAGCACGCAGGAAGCGGCAATCAGAAGGAACTTATTCCCCAGGCCATCAGGAGATTGCTGGTGCACGCCTGGAGATGGATAGCATGCTGAAAGTACCACCCGAAGAGCGTCTGATTTGAATACACAAACAGATGTAGATAAAGAGGCTCTAATATTGTCTGTGTGACTCTATGGAACTACACTGGACCTTTCCAAGGCCTTGTGGTATTACAGAGTCACAGTGAGAAGCAAGTGCTACATCAAACAAGCAACCTGAAGATGTACTGTACGAGTGAGAGAGGAAAAATGAAAACGGGAAACATGAAGGCATTAAAAATGGTTGACCTTTTGTGGAGACCTAAAACTTTAACCAGCAACTCTCTCAAGTCTAGTTGAACTTGAACTTGGTGATTCTTTACCTCATGGCATTGTATGCCTGAACAGCTTTGACTGCAGAGACGGAAATAAGAGTTTACATTCTCCCCAGAGCATTTAAAATCGTTAACCAATCCCTCTCAAAGATAAGCACTAAAAATAGTGCTAAGGAGTAAGCAACATTTTGAAAATATTTTTTTTCACAGCATTTGAATGTACAAGGTACTGTATAATGTCTTTAGCAAGACTGTTAACTAGCTACTATTCCTGCTGTAGGCTACACTGGATATGATCATCAACACTGAGGAATGTGGCTTCATATTCATGCAAATGTGAACAATTGGCCATATTAGCATTTACAATACAAGGGTGGGAACCAACCAAAACTAGTTACCCTTTTAAAGTAATGCATTACTGTTTTGCATGAATTATTGTTGTGTTCACATTGTGTCAGAATTACCCTAATTATGCATTTCCTAATACTAAAAGCTATTCAGGTCAATGCACATTTACAAGTTATGATAAATTACAAAAGAAGACTACAAGTAATGCTAGTTGGGTAGCAATCTCAGCACATCTTTGTCTATAATGCCATTTTTATGTTAGCCAATAACCTGCACTTCTAGTATTCCATATATGAGACAGCAAGGAGAAGTGATTTAATATAGTGATTACATTTTTTGCTATCATAGACAGCAAAGCTGCACAGCTATTTAGCTGTTATGGGTGACGTCACAAGACAAACAGCTTTTAGCGGAATCTGAGCAAAATTGTCATCAAGGAATTACGGTCATTCAAAAAAAATGTAAACGCAATAATTTTTTATTCTGTTTGAGACCGTTATTGGAAAAAACTGTGAACATGTTACTGTTTGACAATCACCGCACTTGACATTTTTTAGAAATGTACGTTCATACTACTAAAGATATAAATAAACACCACCACCATTTGTATACACTTACCTCTGCATACACATGTAAATATGACCGCATTGAGCGGTGAACTAAAATTCTGCCTGTGTATGAAGATGAAACAAGAGAGATCAGAGATAAACATAAGAACAAATCCTTTCTGATATCTAAATACTGTAAAAACTGAGCGATTGCAAGTTGTGTTCATTTTACAGGTTGTGTATATTTTGTAAATTGTGGCTATAATTTGTTTTCTTTTTTGTCGCAAATGAGTCAGATTTTCTTCAAATGCATGCATAGGATTCACTAAAACTAAAAAGTACAGTGTGAACTGCAACATCATCTTAGGAATATATTTTTGAATGTGTAAATGTGCAAAAATTGTTTAATAAAAGTGTTTGTGTTTAAATGTTTAAACAGAGTTACAGCTAAAATAATGCCAATCTTTACGATGTAAAGGTCAGGTTCATGATTAGTGGTGTTTTTTAACTTGTTAAACTGACATTCCTAAAATAATAATAATAATACAATATGTGCAAGAATACTGGGAAAGAGAATGGCTAAAAATAAATGAATAAATGTGAGCAAAACAAATCTCGAACTCACCACTTTCACATGAATATACTGTGTTTTTAATTATGGCAAACACAAATAATAACACCCAAATAATAATAATTAAAAAAATATATATATATGCAATGCAAGATATGAGGATATGAGTTCACATTGGGATACATTGCAAGAGAAAATTGTATTTTACACATCAGAAACACGTCTTGATAGTTCCATCTTATTGAGAGCCGCACTCTCCTACCATTCAAGCGGAGATATCTAAACCTTAAAGGATCCTGTCAAAACAGGTCCTACAATGTTTGTTAAATCCATTCCAGCCGTACTTTCAAACCCTGTTTTATCCAGACATGTTATAGTTTGACACGTTTTCGCTCTCAGAGTACAGTCACATTCAGTGATGGGCCTCATTGACTGCTATGCAGTGATGATGTCATCTACAATACTTCATCCAGAACAACTTTTAACACTAAACAAATTTGGATGTCTTGCCAGTTAAATCACTGTATGGGGAAAAAATATCACAGCTTCGGCTCATTTGATGATTGCTGAAGAAAAAAAAAAACTATCTGTTGGTTAAATTTGTAAAGGTATTTTAACAGAATACTTAGCAAACGTTTTTTTGTCAATTAAAAAAAAAAAATGCCTCGTTTTGCGTCACCCAATTAATTTTTACTGAATATTTAAATTTAAAGTTTATGTTTTCTGTTATACAGTAGCACTTTAATATGCTCTCAGGCATTTCACAGTCATTCATTGTTAGTTTTGTGTTTGTCAAACATTCTTAAAGTCACCCTACTAGAAGTTCACTGTAATCCAGTGCAGGGCCGCTCAGTGTATTCTGTAATGGTGCATTAGCTTCCATTTCCACTGAACTTTTGTTTTAAACTTTCAGTATGAATTACTGACCAAGGACAAATCACATTTCAACCTAACAGGCGGTGTAAAAATCATCTTTTTCACATTAAGACAAAATTTGAACCAAAACACCGTAACAACCCATGCAGTAAGACTAGGAATACACAACAAACCTCTCACCACAAACAGCTCTCAATTTACACACATAACACGCGCACACACACACACTCGTTTAAGGCCAAATTCGAAAGGTGCTCTAAATGGATAAACTAACAGAAAACGTGAAATTCTAACAGCTCTACAGGGTGGATAGAGATGTTCAAGAACACTTTAATAACACAAATAACATTATTTCATTTTTTTAAATACAACAATAAAACCAGAGAAGAAGAGACACCAGTTCACTCCCTGATGTTCCCTGACATGGACAAAAACATGTTTCTTTTGGATTTGAGTGTTTGGTTGTACACAATTCTTTTCCATGTCAAGATTTGCACAAACAGTGTTCTCCTACTTGTCTCAGACAAAAATATAGCAAAAAAATGGCATGAAACAAAGATCCTCCAACACAGATTGTATATAGTGCTGAACTAAACCCAGAAAACAGGCAGAGTCTATGATGAGAAAACCAGCTGTTAGAGTTAGGATTCATTTTAACACACTTTATAGCAGTATGTATGTTTAAAAAGCGCAAAACAGCTCTATTAGAATAAATACCCATAATGCAGAGCGCACGGCAGTAGCAGATTAAATGGAAAGGGAAGTGCTAAAAAGAAGGGTGGTGACTGGTTGCTTTATGAAAGCTATAAGTCTATCATGTGATGCTCAGAATAAACTGAGAGAACGTCAACATCAAAATCAAAGCAAATGGACAATTAGCATCTAAACTAAACTATTTAGAAACTGAACAGAACCCTGTTCCAGAAGACCCCATTTTATTACTTTTGGACTGACACACAGGCAAGCGAAACCAGAGGTAAAGCCGGTACCAGTGAAGCCATTCACCACATATTTAATCAAAAAATACACTCTTGATCTGTTTACCTAATGTAAATGACACTTTTTTTTGGTCAAGAGATAATGCATCAAATGCATACTGCATTTTTGTCCTTTAAAATATCTGATTTCAGAGCTCTAGGGGGCAGTGTTGTGTTTTACAGGGCTGTTTACGCTGACCCATTCTGAGTGCTAACATACTGATGCACTTTATCACACACTATGCTCTATGCAGCGAGTAGTATATAGCTTCAACTAGGACACAATATATAGTGCAGTATGCATTATAGTATGCCATATGTAATGTAGTGCAAATTTGAAGTACACGGCAGGTACAGCAGTCACAACGTTATATGCAATGTGCATTTTAACGTCCAGAATGTAGTATGACCTTGTGTCATGTAGCAAGAAATGTGGGATGTGTAGTATGCCATCTACTAGAGATACGCAATATTTGTATTCAAGTGCATTATAAATGGCTATTTAACAATCGTTTTTTCAAGAAAGTGGACACTAGGGTATGTTGGTTTGAATTAATGTGTAGGATTAAAAAAACACAAGATTCTTATTAAAACGGCACTGACTGTTTATGCAGTTACTACCATAAAAGCAACAATGCCAGTCTAATTGCTAATGTAGGACTTGGGTCACTTATTGTGTGGTATCTTTAGTACTGTAGTCTGATCCATATGGAAACTAGACTGCTAGCTACAGAAAATACAGTGTTATCCTGCTAATATGGTTTTTCAGTGTTAAACTTGCTGCTATTGGAACAACACTGTTCATCCGGATGCTATGGGAAACACATCATTAGCATCTGTGTGCATAAGGCTAAGTGTGTGAGCTAGGCGGGAAAAAAAGCACGACACAATCTGGGGGGAAAATGTCCAACAGTGCTTTCAGGCCACTAGGGGGCACAGTCTTAAATACCCACTGGCTCTAAATTTTCGGTCCCTCACTGGTTGGTAGCAGCAGTAGAGGAAAGATGTGGGCAGAGCTAGTCAAAAGTTTCCCACCTTCTTCGCAAATCCTCTACCTTCTTTTTGGGGGGCGTGGCCATTACTGTTGGTGTGGTTGCCATACAAAGAAGGTCACTGAATGGGTCAAGGGGTTCGTCTGTAGAAACTTGCGCAGGCTGGGCCAGAGTAGCCGGAGCAGGTGAGTCTAAGAGGGTTGAAAGAGAGCCGCTACTGCTGGAGGATGGTGGAACACGTCCAATTGGCCACGCCCCTCCGGTTGGGGTCACACCCACAGCAGATGTCTGACTGAATACTGAGAATGGGTGGGCAGAGGTGGAGATGTAGTTGGCACCTGGGGGAGGCATGTATGCTGGGGCAAAAGGGTTACCTGGGATAACAGGACTATAATGCCTTTGTGGCTGGTACTGGGGTGGTTGGGTAAAGGGGTTCAGTGATACTGGAGGGGGGAAGGCGGGCAGGTTTGGGGGGTTGGGTCGAGGAGGCATAGGGGGATTAGAGAGGGATGGGGTGGCCTCATTCTTCGTTGCTCCGCACAGAGGGTCCAACAAGCTGAGCAAGTCCTGTCCCTCGTTTGGCTCACTGGGCTTCAACAAGTCCGCCTGAGTTTGTGATTGGGAGTGAGGAGACATGTTCAGTGCTTGCCGAAACTCCTGCCCTCCAGCAGACACTCCTCCCTCCTTTTCGCTGGCCTGCTTAACCCCACGCAGCAGGGTCACAGCTGGTGCTAGAACAGCACCCGGTTCGGGTGTTTTTCGACCTTGGGGACGAGGGATTGTGATACAAGCCCCTTCGGTCTTCTCTGCACTGGGATTTGAACTCTCTCTGCTGGCTGGCCGTGCCTCAGGGGGTTCTAAGGGTGGCACGGAGAGAGGTCTCTCCCAGGAAGGTGACTCTTGGCCAAGCAACGTGGACGGGACATCTCTTTGGCTCCAGAGCTTGTTGTACGGATTGGTGGTTTTAAGACCAGGGAGTGTGCGTGTGCGCTCACCAGAAGTAAGATCTATCCGCTGGAGAACAAACAATTCAAACAAGTTTTAGATAGATAGAGGCCATGTACAGCAATAAATCCGGTTGCTTTGGAGTGCTTAAACCCATTCTGTTCACCTAGAGTTTGGGTGATTGCAGGAGTGACAACCGCAATCAATTCCTAAAAGTGAGATAACAAAACATTACTATGGACTCATCATAGACCATTGTGAGCTTGGCAGTGTCTCTTGTATTTCCTACAAGTGGAACAATAATTTAGGGCACAGTTTCTCAAACTTGATCCTGGAGACACACCAACAGTACCAATTTGGGATGTCTCCCTTATCTGACCCATTCATTCCAGGTCTTGAAGTCTGCTACAGAGCAGATCAGTTAAACCAGGTGTTTGAATACAAAGAGTTAAAAAATGTGTACTTCTGGTGTGCCTTCAGGAACAAAGTTGGGAAACACTGATTTACGGGATTCTCTTGTGCATTAAATTGTGGCTGTCACTCCCAAAACTTTGCAGCACAATCTAACCTGGTAGTTGAAGTTGGCATGTTGTGGGTCTGCTCGAAGCTCCTCCAAACTTCTGGCGGAACTGAGTGTAGAGTGTGTGCTGTGAGAGGATTTTGTGGTATTTGTGGTTTCGGTACATTCTGGCTCCCCCTGCTGACTACGGAAAGCATCCTGCAACAGGCTCAGGTCAGAGAACTTGTCTAGGACAGGGCTGGACGGAGCAGTGTTACCTTGGAAGCACTCCCCAACCTCCTCACCTTCTTCCACAAGCTCCGCCTCTTTCAGAGACCTGTATGGCTGGGGCCTAAGTCACATATGCAAACAAAAACACATAGGCACACAACATCCACGCCACAAAAACACACAAACAAGCGCACACACACAACACATGCACAAACAATTACAAGACACATTATATTTTCATGTTAGATGAAGAGCTGTTGAGATGGGCAGATCTGATCAACAAAACAATCAAAATCACTTTACATTAATAAGCTGTTGCATGCCTCAGGCAAAGACATCACATTTATTAAATCTAGCCATGCAATAAAACTGATTTAAGACAGCATTAAAGGCAAATCTAACAAGCCACAGCGTAACTAAATATTATGGTGAACAGTAGCCCCAAAAATATTCAGACTTAAGACACTTGAAAATGAGGTTGTCATTGCATTAGATAACAAATTGCTCTTTGGGCCTGATTCAGGACCAAATACTTTGCCGTATTCTGGATTATTTGCAGAACTTCAATAGTACGTACATGAGAAATCTAGAGATGACAAGAGTTTGGACAAGGAGCTATATGACATGCTCAGATACGAAAGATTTGTTAGTTTTAAGTACTTTATTATTGGAGGCCAAACATGCTGGCCCATTCTGGATTACATGCACATCTTTAACAGCCTATGCAGCAGGGTCGGCTAGGGGAACATTGGGAGAAGATTAGGGGTCCAAGCACCAAGCCCTGGGGAATCTCTGTGTACAGTTAATGCAATTTATACTGACAAATTGGTTCTACAGTACTATAGATAAGTTCCACAACTAGAATTGTGTTTTGAACAGTATCAGTATATTGAATGCTTCCACTTGGTTTGAAATTTAGTAATCTAATGCAATGACATCTATACATTTTTAGTGGCCAAAAATTACTTGCGGGCACAGTATGTGAAAAGGTCATCAAATATTCACTTTAAGACTAATAGACATTAGAGAAATCAAGGATGAAAAACACTTGAACAGAGACCATTCAAAAGGAGCAGAAAGCAGGAAGTTTTCAGGAAAAGCAGCAATGGAGTCATCATCCTGAGACATCTCGTCACCCGAAGAGTCCTCGCACAGAAACACTGTATAGTGACGGGTTGGACGCACGTAACTACAGTGTCAGCACGCACACATACAGAGATGCACAGCAGCAACAAAAAAAGAAAGTGTAAACAAATTGGCAGAGACCGAAAGAGCCAAGTGTAAGGTGTAACCACACACAAACACACAATCACAAGAATGACCATCCCAGTGTGAAAGAGAAAACACAAGAGTGAAGGAGAAAAAGAAAGAGTGAGACATGCAATCACACATTCGAGACCACAACATTTTTACTGTGCTGATTTGTATGTCAGATATTTGAGGGATAATGTATAGCCTAAAACTATTAAAAATATAAAACTATTAAAAACTTTGTTTTTAATTGAAATAAAATATAATTATTAGATGAAAAAATTGTAACTGAAATTTTTGAAATGTTGTTTTGGCAACAAACTATAAGTTTAATAAAATAGGCTTAAGTACTAAAAGTACTTAAATTATTAACTGAAATAAAACTAAAACCTAAAAATACATTTAAAATATTTAGAAATATTTTTTAAAAACAAAAGTTCATAAAAAATGGCAAAAGTACATAAAGTCAGTAGACATTAAACTAAAACTAAAATTAAAATGAAAACTGGAAAAAGAAAAAGAAAAGCTAAATCAAAATATTAATTAAAAAAAAACTATAATAGTATATAAATAATACTAAAAACAGTATCAGCCACTATTAAAAAATAAAAGGATATCAACTCCCGGATGCAAAGTAGAGGAGACTTAAAGAAGTTTATTTTGCAATAATGATCGGTTGGCTGTACATTATCCCATTATTATTGACATTAATCAAATAAATAATAGAAATAAAATAGATTTGAATTTAAATTTTTTCATTCTCTTTATTTAAGACTGGCTTAAATGTTCTGCGAAACAGTTCACTACAAATGTAAACAATCAACCTAACAACAAGAGAAATACAGTTTAGCGGTAATTGAACAAAAAAATCTGACAAATGCCGTGAATGCGGAGTAAAATATTCCATAGACAGAAACACAATGACCATTGTCTATTTTTTTGTGTTTTGCAATTGCATGTGAGAAAGGTTAAGTGTTTAAGTCTTACTGTTCAGGACTTCCCTCTATGCCGATGTTGCTGCGTGGTCTCTTTGCCACCAGAGGCCGAGGAGGTCGAGCCTGCAAACACACGCAAAAACACGTTCTAAACAGCATACTAATGTCTCTCTGGATTTGTTAAATGTTTGTAGATGTCACCGCAGTCACTGTTAAGTCAGAAGTCAATTGCTCCTTTTATACAGCAAGGGTCAGAGGTCAAGATCCTGTCAAATGTAAACAGAAATGCGCTATCCAAGACCTGAAGTTTGGCTGACAGAATAAAGCACCCTTTCAACCAGAGGAAAAAAGTTTGTGCGGTAGAAAAGTAAGTGCAAACACACATGACAAACTCGTTCATGAGTGTGAGTGAGCATTAATCTGTAGAAAAACAACTGAAGTTAGATCACACAGGTATGTAAATACACACACACAAACAGTATCCTGTCAGAACACACAAATATAACACACTCCAGTGCAGCAGTCAGGGCAGAGGGGAATATCTGAGCTCAGGGTGACAGGTCAGAGGTCAGGGATGAGAGTGCTGTACTCACTGGTCGTGTGCTGCGCTGTAGTTTGGAAGGATGGGGGGGAGGGGGACGTTGGGGCCGTGGGGAACGTGACTGCTCAGTCTGCTCCAAACATACATACACACACACTTTTATCTGTGAAAATATGACTTCTATTGCATATTTCCTAAAAATTAACAGTTCAACACATGGACTGAATCCTAATTACTATGTCCATGTCAACACACTTTACATTTAACATACATCTGAAATAGGCATGTGACGATATCAAAGCTTCATATCACGGTAATTGCTGAAGCTTTTATCACATATTGAAATACATTAAAATGTATGTGTGTAAACAAATTAATACATATAAATATAAATGTATAAATACAACAAGTGGAAGTCAGTAACAATGTTGCACACTACAGTGTTCTAAATTTTAATCGCTTTGTAGACAAGAAGCTAATGTGCATTTCAAAAATCTAATTCAGATAATTAGGTAATTATTACATTATTTTGAAGTGGCCATGATAACAATACTGTGCATGTCCATTACAGCAATATACTGTATCATTTGATAGATAATTTACATTATATAAATGCTCTTTGCAGAAACTTTGTAATTTCCAAAACAGTTACAATTCCCCACACCCACCTGTCCAAAGTGAACTGTGATTGGACGTCTCTGGTCCCAGGTGAGGAAGTCTTTGCTGTGTGTGGAGGGTAAGCGGGTGGAGCCAGGCTCTTCTGAGTAACCATTCTCTGTAAGCTCCTGCAAGTCAATACACAGTTGCTTGCACATTGCTTGCATTAAAAAATGCATGTACATACAGTAGGTTTACTTTTGTTTGAGTCGACTCTTGACTTCTTTGATGCCCATCTTGGCATGGTCTTTGGCCTGTAGAGGAAACATGAGGAGATTCCTTACACAGACAGCACAGAGAAATCTCTCATAGAAAAGAAAGAGAAACTGGACAAAGAAAAAAAAAACAGTAGAAACTCTCACACAGACAAAACAAGAATTCACTCACACATAGAGAACTGAGAAAGAAAGTGTTTACACATGGATACATACAAATTTGTAAACTGTCCTCATTGCAGGATTTGCCTTTGTCTTCACTGTGTTTAAGATGGCCCCACTGCCTTTCTATAAGCCAAAGGTGAAAAAGACATCATCAAACTGAGGAGGAAAAGTTCATAAGCAAATACACAAAGAATCAGTCCAAATCAACCTCTCCAGCACACACAAAAATCAAGAAACTTCACCTTCACTGTGAAAAGCCACTGATGATATGTCTTATCACTGCCTGTAACACAAATATGAAACAATCACAGAGAAGAGTGAATGTAAAAACAGCAATAACACAGAATAACATGAATTTATTAGCTTTACAGTAAATATACAGACAAATTAAGTTTCTTACCAGCATATTCTCCCATGTTGATCTCCTCCTCAAACTGATCGCTGAACCCTTCACCAGAGTTCAACAGCTCCAGACGCCCGTCTATAAACTGTAAACACACATTAAAGCAATGATCCTTATGTATGTCACGCACCGTGAAAGGGACCACTGTGACACTAAAGTTGACAAAAGCGCTGTGTCTGATTGTAAAATTGCTATGTATACACTACATGTAAAGCAGTATTATTCATATAATATTTTAGCATAATATTTTTGTATAACAATTTTTTTTCTGTTTTAATTTTAGTTTAAATTTTAGTAATTTGCCATTTTTATTTATTTTTAAATAATTTAAATATTTTAGTCATTTTAGTACTTCAACTTCAACTTATTTCAGTTTCAGTAATTCAGTTAAAGTTTTTAATGTAATATTTATTTCAGCTTTATTTTACTTACCAGAAATGATTTTTAATAGCTTTAGTTAACAATAACAACACTGAAAATGTTGTTGAAAAATGTTCTGATATAACACTAACAAAATAAGTGCCTTAACATGCATAAAAAGTACTAGAAACACTGGTAAAAACAAAACAGCTGTAGTTTTATAAAACAAATGATAAGCTTATAAGTGTATAGACTAAAAGAAGGAATATTTATTTGAAGCTGTATTTATAATTAGCGTTATATAAAAACACTAAAGGTCTATTGTATGCTCTCATTTAGATAGTTAGGTAAATATTTGTGTAATACCTGTTTAAAGAACTGTAGTTGGATAGCATTATGTAGAAACTGTCTCATTGTGCTGGATCGGTGCGTGATGAACGTTTCCTCACTGAACGTGATTGGCTCCTCCTGAACATTTAGACACATGGGAAGTCAAAAACATGCAGCTCATTACCCAAGCATTTTTCACAGACTGTCCACTAGAGGACACTGTCTCACTGTTATCCTGCATGTTCAAATGCTCAGAGCCAACATTTATGACCAACATTTTAGTCTAAACTTCATTCAGAACCATAAGCACATCAACACTTCAAACTCTCACCGGTTCAATTTGTAGTGCATTCCTGTAACTGCCAAACAGAGCTGCCTGTGCCTTCAGAAACGCCCTGGCCACTCCATCTCCTGTCGTCGAGGAAACTTTTCTTAGGCGGTTCTTTAAAGATGAAACCTACAACATACACACGTATATCACTTACTTGACCATTATAAATACATTTCCATATCAGATCATCACCGACACATCAAAATCAACACCATGCCCAAAACAGATCAGACTTTTTGGAGATCTGAGCAAGTCGTGTTTATGCTTATTTACTCACCACATCATTAGGAAGGCTTTGTAGGTCATCAAACGGCGTTTCAAGAGTGTTTGTGTCTACATTGAGAAGTACCACATCATCTAAAGCCATACCTCGCACCTTCTGTTACGACAGCACACACAAACACAGATACACACAAAACATTCTAAATATAGCCTAGAAGTTTGCTACACTACACGTAAATCAATACAACAGCACTGTGATTCAAATATGAATCTGCAGCACAGAAAAATATGAATATGCAGTTACGGTAAAATAAAAGAAAGCAATCAGTCACCTCCATAAGACTGGAATGCACTCCGATGAGGTATGGCATTGGAGCGCTAACAAAAATATAACAATAGTTCAGTACAATTTATGCCTTTTAAAATGTATTACATATATGATTATATTACATACATGGTACTTAAAATTCTAAAATTGCTCCAGGAGAAACCTTTTTAAAACTGTCCATTAATATACTGAATAAAAACATTGTCTAATATAATTTAAAATGGACATTCTGTTAGAAGATGCTTTAAACTCGAGTAGTTCTTACATAAAACTGGTTTCTCTTTCCTTTTCAATAAATATGAATAAGTCCTGAATGAACGATTCTTAATCTTAAAATATATAAAATTTATATTTTTAAATACATTTAATCAAATTTTTGTAAATATATTAAATCCTCCTACAACAACAAATTCTTCATAACTGGACCAAATAATGCCTATTTTTATAATATAAAAAATAAAGGGCAAGTAATTAGCAACTTAATTTTAAAACAAAGGAAATATGAGGTCCTTCCCAAGTATACAGTGGTGTGAAAAAGTGTTGGCCCCCTTCCTGATTTCTTATTTTTTTGCATGTTTTTCACACTTTAATGCTTTTCACTTTAAATTTGAGATCTCAATTACTTTCTTTCTCATTTGTTTCTGAATTTCTTTGGATCTCGGCATGATGTCTAGCTTTTGAGGATCTTTTGGTCTACTTCACTTTGTCAGGCAGGTCCTATTTAAGAGATTTCTTGATTGCGAACAGGTGTGGCAGTAATCAGGCCTGGGTGTGGCTAGAGAAATTGAACTTGGGTGTGATAAACCACAGTTTTAACAGGGGGGCAAACACTTCTTCACACAGGGCCATGTAGTTTTGGATTTTGTTTTCCCTTAATAATAAAAATGCTTCATTTAAAAACTGCATGTTGTGTTTACTTGTGTTATCTTTGACTAATATTTAAATTTGTTTGATGATCTGAAACATTAAAGTGTGACAAACATGCAAAAAAATAAGAAATCAGCCAACACTTTTTCACACCACTGTATATGTATGAATGTGTGTGAATGTGTACTCACCAGCAGTAGTCTATTAAGTGCTGTGGCAGTACTGGAATATAAACATGCTGCCAGTACATGGGATACAACATGGCTGCTGCACCATGAACACATGCGGTTAACTGCGAGGGAGAAGAAGGTTTATTAATACCTCTAAAACGAGTAAAAAAACAACTAACAATATAGAGAGAGATAATGGTAGAGATGATGCTTACAGTGCTCAGCTTGCTGCAGCTAATGAGGATTCGTCTTTCGTACAGCATGCTAGCGTATAGATGCAGCATGTTATTCACATCCACTGCTACAAAATACTCGGTGAGATTTCTCTGCAAATACATAAAAAGAATCAAGTCATAGAATCAAGAATCATAGAAGTTTTTTTTTTTTTTTATGAGAGTCAATGTGTTATATGGATTGATGACAACTAGTTGAATTACCTTTTGAATTTAGCTAGGTAAACTTGATTTTTACAGACAATTTTCAGTCATTTTAAAGGGGTCATGACTCATAAACTGCATTTTTTATTATTTTATAATGTTCTATGAGGTTCACTTATAATGTTAGTGTGAGTTTACATCAAAAAACATCATTTAGAAGCAATAGGCTATTTTCTATCCTGTTTTTGAGCCTCTCTGCAGAACGATCTGTTTTTATAGGCGGGGCGCATTCAAGATGAGCAAGTAAACGCCGACTGCTATGATTGGCTAATAGGGTTGGGCCGATAGACGATGCCATCGTCCATCGCCGATGGCTGACAGACATCACTATGTTAAGCTGACATCATGATTCCCCCCACCACCACCACCGCATCCCAGTTCCGTGTTCAGAAAGGAAATTAAGTGTACTACGGAAACCCTAAAGGGAATAAATGGCCTAAGAGAAGAAGTACTATGGAGCGGCAGTACTTACCACACATTTGACAAGATTAGATGTTTGTCATTGGTGCTCAGGATCTGCAAATCATTCGCCATCGTCCTATCAGACATTTCTACTTACTCTGTGTATGTGGTAAGTGAACTTTCATGTACTGTAATGCAACAGGCTACCGCTAGCAAGAGGCTAACCATTTAGTGGCTCCGGATAACGCGTTATTTGTTTCACGCTTCGGGCACACCCCTAACCCCGCCCCGCCCCCCGATGTCATCGTCCATCACGATGTTTCACTGTAGACATCGTCCGATGCCAATTTGGTAGACATCTCCCAACCCTATAGGCTAACAGTTTTGCTTATTTAAATAACAGTTGGACGCTGCTGTGATGTACTCTGAAAACAACATGGGTCATTTGGGTTAAAACATATAAATACTCAGTATACATCAAATGGTCTGGAACAGACAATGCAATCGTGGTAAAAGCACGTTTACTCACACTATGTTGTGTTGCAACATTACTGTTGGATCCAATTTAGTCAGACTCAGCACTGCATCATCATTTATTTTCAGTCTCTCTGAAAAGCCTGCATCATACTGTCTTGGTTAAAAATGAATCCGTAGCAAAGTGAAGCAAGCAAACAAACAAACAGTGTTTCACTGACGCGATCTGGAGCTCTTTGCTAATTTTACCCTGTGTTTACACCGGACGCGAGCGGCGCAACGCGACTATAGACAACAGAACTCATTATAATCTGCCATTCTGTCTACACTGGATGTGGCACAGATTGACACAACAAATCCCCGACAGTAAACTGATTCACAAAATGCCACAACAGTGCTCGCTTCCGATGTAGAAAGAAAGTTTTGAAACTTACAGGATGTCTTGATCAAAAGATCAAGGGAATTTTGATTTCTCAGTTCATGACCCCTTTAAACTCCGTATAGTTATGCATAAATATGTAATTTCTACATTGTGACTAACAGGGTCAAGGTAATAAGTCAGACTTACATTTTCAGGTATACTGGGTAATTCCCTAGGATCAGGCACTGTGAAAAACCAATGCTAAAGACAGAGAAATGTAATTAGCTTTATACAATAAATTGATTGTAATATGAACATCTTGTCTGATGTAAGCGTCATGTGTGTATGTTACTGTATATTACCACACTCAAATGCACAGGGACTCCAGGATCAGGGATGTTTAACGTGTGTAGAGACTCTAACAACTCTCTCCATTGACTGTCCTGTAACACAAATACACACAAATTAAAACAGCAAGTCTCACATGCAGATTTTACACTATATAAATTATAAGATGTTAAATCACTACAAATAATCAATGCCACGTCACTATTATATGTATGCATGCATGACCTTGCTACACTTCTGAGGTCAAAACAGCTGAAAAATCTCCTCAGAGGAAATTTTTAGTTACACGACTTTTCAAAGTTTGGGGTTGGCAAGATTGTGTAATGTTTTTGAGATAAGTATCTTCTGCTCACCAAGGCTGCATTTATTTGATCAAAAATACAGTAAAAACAGTAATATTGTGAAAGATTATTACAATTTAAAAGAACTTTAAAAGTTTTCTATTTTAATATATTTTAAAATGTAATTTATTTCATTTCTTATTATTATCAACACTGAAAACAGTTTTTGCTGCTTAGTATTTTTGTTGTAATTTTGATACATTTTTCCAGGAATCTCTGATTAAAGGTGGGGTAAACGATTTTTCAAAAACGCTTTAGAAAACTGATTCGGGCCAACTAGCAAAACAAACTTGTAGCCAATCAGCAGTAAGGGGCGTGTCTACTCATGATGTGGAGGAGAGAGCGTTCAGTGCACAGGACGGACATTAGCGAGCCGAGCGACAGAAATATAGAGATGGCGGATAAAAACAAAAGAGGAAAACGTATGTGGAACAAAAGAAGGCTTAAGGCAATAAGTAGGACCCGTGTAAATATTGTATCAGCTTTCCAGCGCTGGAGAAAACTCGAGCGGAAGGCCTGCAATCGGATGCCGAGGTTGCTTTGTTTCTTCTCAATAGGCGAGAAACACCGTGTCTGCGCCACAACAGCTAAAGTCTGTCTAGTACACTGGACGCGACAAAGCGACCGTTGAAAATCATTTGAAATTTGTGTCAATACGTCATGAATAGAACGCAGCAGCAGTTTTCTGTCGGGGATTTGTCGTGTCGTGCCGCGCCGCATCCAGTGTAGACCATAGATATGTATATATATCTATGGTGTAGACAGCATCACTGATTATAATGAGTTCCATAGTATTTTGTCGCGCCGCGCCACTCACGTCCGGTGTAGACACGGTGTAACATTGGTTTTGCTTTGTTTCACAGAACTAATTGTTGCCTGGGTTGCGTATGTATGTGTGGGGCGGAGCTATCAAAATAGGGGCGAGACCCTTTTGGGGTAGGGGCGTGTTTGTTTTGGTGATTTCAAATGTCAACATTGGCTACCAGAAATCGCTTACCCCACCTTTAATAGAAAGTTAAAAAAGAACAATTTAAAAAAATCTTTTGTAACAATATAATTATCTTTACTGTCACTTTTGATCAACTGAATGTGTCGTTGTTGATTAAAAGCATTAATGTCTTTCAAAAAAAAAAAATCATACTGACCCCAAACTTTTAACCAAACTGTAAATCTGGAGGGGAAAAAAACACTTTTGTCCAAGGGAAAATGTTTATAAAAATACAAAAAAAGCTGTAATTTAGGGTCAGGTTAAAGTCATCAGGTTAACAGTAATTGTAATTTTAGAATTAATGTAAAGTATGAAATCAGCAAGAAATCCTATTCACATTCATAATTAAATGCGTATGTGTACATCTGCGTGTATAAGACACAGCGACATATGAGTGTGGTTGTCATTCATGCACCACCGACCTGTCCTTTGGTTGTATAGTCTGCCAGGATATTCAGCAGCTTGTAAAACACCTCAAACCAGGGCAAGTAGCTAAACAGAAACAGTTAGATTACAATTAGATTAAGTTGATCTGAAGTAGGTGGATGAAGAAAACAGGTCCATTTACATAAAATTTTCAACTTGTACTTTTAAAACCAATAATCTGTACCTGAGGATGCAGTGGCAGCTCTGAGCTCCCGATGAGAGCCGGCAGAAACCGAAGCGCTGTTTACTCTCGATATCCGTCAGAACAAACGTGAAGTTCTGCCCCACCTGGCCCACTGCCATACTGAAAGACAGGGTCAAAGACAAAATTTTGGTCCGAACTTATAAAGTCAAGGTTCAAGAGGTGCTGGAATCAAATGAAAGTGATTTGATGACACTCACACAATTAGATAAGAACAAAACAAAATGAACTGAGCTTAATGGTGACACTATTGTTTTCTGTAGAGCTGAATTGTTTCATAATTGACCAATTTTGCTACATCGACTGAACTGACTCGAGCTGAATAAAGACGCTAGACAGTAGTCGAGTCAAGTTCAGTATAGCTGCTTATGAAAACATCACAATCATCCACACCAATCCAGTCCATCAATTAATGTCTTGTGAAGCGAAAAGTTTGCGTGTTTGTGATAAACAAATCCATCAAAACATTTTTAACTTCAAACTGTTGCTTCCAGCTAAAATATGAGTCCTCTATCCACAATATTGTTTCTCTAGTGCATCCTCGGGTACAAATTGTTGTCTCATCTGAATCAGGAGAGAAATATGCACAGATCAAGCACTGTTTACAAGTGAAAAGAGTCCAAAACCGTTCTAAACCAATATGTTGGTGGATTTTGATGTTAGAGGACAACAGGAGATGGACTTTTTCACTGGAGGAAGTGTTATTATGGATTATGGACTTGAATTTTGGACAAAAGCGATGGTATAAAGTTAAAACAAACACACAGCTCTTCACTTCACAAGTCGTTAATTGAGAGTGAAGTGGCTTGGAGTGGTGTGGATTACTTGTGTATTATTGTGATGTTTTTATCAGCTGTTTGGACTTTCATTCTGACGGCACCCATTCACTGCAGAGGATCCATTGGTGAGCAAGTGATGTACTGCAATTTCTCCAAATCTGTTCCGATGAAGAAACTAAATCATCTACATCTTGGGTGGCCTGAGGACAAGTACATTTCTAGCAACTTTTCATTTTTGGGTGAACTATTCGCTGTATGACTAAAGGTGACTTGACTTGATTAAAGATTGTAACATTACCTGTCCATATTGAAGGGGAAACAAAACCTTGGGATAGTCTGTAGCGTTTCCTGAAAACAGATTGTAAGAAAGAATGAATTCACACACTGAAACATAACCATTAGCTTCATTCACACAAAAGACCACCATGTACAGATGAAACTGTGTGTGCGTGAGGGACTATACTAGACTTGAGACCCCAGGGGTGTGTGTATATGAGTGCCAGTGTTTTCCTGCCCTCATCTGTGTCAGGAGTTAGGGATTATCCCTAACAATAGCATGACAGAGGAGAGGGAGGGGACACAGCCCAGATTACAGAGCTTTACCGCTGGGTATGTCACCCAGAATATCTTCTGGGACCACTGGACCCAACAATCAGGGTGAGTAAAGCTGTCTGTACTTGTGTGCTGAGAGAGTTTATGAAACTGCAATCAACAGGTATATAGATTGGACAGACACACACATTAGTTTTAGTTATACGCACACACACAGAATTACACTTGCTTTAGTAGCTGATATCGCCATGACAACATATTATCAACGATCAAAAACAATCACTGCATTCGCTCCTCATTTCCTAAATAATGCATTATAGCTTCCTTAAAGGGTTAGTTCAGCCAAAAATGAAAATTAGCCTGTGTTTTACTCACCCTCAAAGCATCCTAGGTGTATGTGACTTTCTTCTTTCAGACGAATCCAATCGGAGTTATATTAAAAATTGTCCTGGCCCCTCCAAGCCTTTCAATGGGGGCAAGCGGCAGTTGGTTGTCAACAGTTCAGAAGACGTTAAATAAAGTGCGCGCATCCGTAATAAAACGTGCCTCACACGGCTCCAGGGGGTGAATAAAGGCCTCCTGTAGCGAATCCATGCATTTTTGTAAGATAAATATCCATATTTCAAACGTAATAAACACTTTTTTCACTTCCGCTGACTGTCATACGCGGAAGCCGTTCCAGCGGATGACGTAAGATGTCGACGTTGCGTGATTAGTGATGAACGCGGAGACAAAACAAAACAAAATGCCGTTCACGATTTAGAAGCACAAAATGAGGATTTGTAAAGAATTTAAGAAAGGATTTCGATTTAAGCCAAGAGGAGACTGGTTTTCCTTTGCTAAAGTAAGGAAACTATGTCGCATACGTCCTATGTCATCCGCCTGAACGTCTTCCGCGTACCACATATAGCGGAAGTGAGAAAAAGTGTTTATTACGTTTGTAATATGGATATTTATCTTACAAAAATGCATGGAATCGCTACAGGAGGCCTTTATTCACCCCCCGGAGCTGTGTGAGGGACGTTTTATTACGGATGCGCGCACTTTATTTCACGTCTTCTGTTGACAACTAACACCCACTTACCCCCACTGAAAGGCTTGGAGGGGCCAGGACAATTTTTAATATAACTCCGATTGGATTCGTCTGAAACAAGGAAGTCACATACATCTAGGATGCTTTGAGGGGGAGTAAAACACAGGCTAATTTTCATTTTTGGATGAACTAACCCTTTAATTCCTGCCATTTTTATTTCACTATTTTTAGGCATCAATTTATTTTAAAAATGTAATAAAATATAGTAAGAAGATTATATTCCACCATTCAAAAGTTCAGGGTCAGCAAGAAAAAGCAAGAAAAATAAATTATTACTTTGATTTAGCAAGGAAGCATTAAAAATAAATGCATTCAAATAGCCTAAATTATGTTCTTTCTATTCGCTGTTTCCACAAAAATATTAAGCTGCACTATTGCCAACATTGATAATAAATCATAAGAATAATTTGGCATCAAAGGAATAAATTACATTTTAAAATATATAAATAGAAAACCGTTCTCTTAAACTGCAATATGTCACAATATAACAGATTTTTCTGTATTTTTGATCAAATAAATGCAGCCTTAGTGAGAATAAGAGACATTTTGCAGACCCAAAACCTCTGATTTTGTAGTGTATAATTAATTAATTAATACCATTATTAATAATTACAAAATTAAAATGATAATTATGCATCATTCATTTTTGTTATTAATTTATTGGTAACACTATTGTTAAGATTTAATCCAAATACAAGTTATCACCTGTAGGTAACATATTTGTCTACTTACTGATGTCTTTATTACTGATTTATAGATAGATAATCTTATCTGGGTGCAGAAGCACTGCTCAGCATAGATGAGAGAGTTTTAAGAGAGTTTTAAATAAATATTAAATATGAAATGGTTGTCGGCCATCAACACACACAGTACCAGCACACAGCATAAATATTTGCTTGCTACTTCCCCATATAGTGTTTCAATCACTGTATATGGAGTAAGCAGATTTTGAATATAGCAAAAGTATCTTTTTTTGGTTTCCTCTTTGTAAACCAGAGTCAGAATCTTAAGTGAGTTTGGTTAAAACTCCTTAAAGGGGGTGTTTGATACCATAGACCAGGGTTCCTCAAATCTAGCCCTGGAGGGCCAATGCGCTGCAGAGTTTAGCTCCAACCCTGATCAAACTCACCTACCTGTGATTTTCTAATGATCCTGAAGACATTGATTAGCTTGCTCAGGTGTGTTTGATTAGGGTTAGAGCTAAACTCTGCAGGAAAGTTGATCTTGTGGGCCAGATTTGAGGATCCCTGCCATAGACCCTCTCAGAAAATGACACACACTCTCTAGTGGTTTAAACACCATCTGTCAGAACAGGTGCTCACTGCATTATCACTGAGGTGAACAACAATTATGAGATCCCCACCCCAACATCCCTAGAGAAAGACAGAACAGATAATGAAGTACAAACCTGGTCAGTGTATGTGTTGGGGAAACTCCTTCGTACCTCTGGTCCTGAAAATAACCCAGAAATCATGTTATTAACATTATATATACACAGATAGAAAAAGCTTTTCAATATAAGCTTGGTCTCCCCACATGTTGCCAGCCCACTTTATCTCCATTATCAGGCAGTTTTAGATACAAAACACAAAGACAATTTTCTTATTTGGTTTTACGTGCAACAATGAATCATACATAATAAGATCAGGAACATGTACAGTATATAGAAAGTAAAAGGCATCAGTTTTGATTTCATCTAGATTTCATCATACATTTGGCCATATGCATCTCTGAGCACCGTACATGTTATTAACAGACTCAAACTTTCAAAACAAACCATGCATAGTGATGGCAGGTAAAAATAAACAGCTTTATTTTATCTCATAGATTTACTGTCAAATATGTTCAATGGGGGTTCAGATATTGATGCAACAGTTCCTCTGAAAGGGTTTCCTCTTTCTTTCAGTGGGATATGTGACTCTGTGGATGTGTGTACATTGTGGGAGGGTTTGTCTCAGGAGAAAAGACCCAAGATGCTTTGCTCCTGCTGCCATCATCAAACCATATGGTCACTAAGCAACAGTCGCCTAGGGGTCTGCATGGGGGGAATTCAAACGGCTCATGTACCTACTATATACACTAGCATTAAAAAGTCTGGGGTCAGTAAGATTGTCTTTTTATAGAAATTAATACTTTTATTCAGTAAGAATGCATTTCACTGATCAAATGTGACAGTAAAAAAAATTTATATTACAAAATATTTCTATTTCAAATAACTGCTGTTATTTTGAACTTTCTATTCATCAAAAAAAAAAAAGTATCACCATTTCCACAAAAATATTAAAGGGATGGTTGATTGCGATTTAACGTTAGTCAGTGTGTAATGTTGCTGTTTGAGCATAAACAATATCAGCAAAGTTGCGGCACTGAAAGTTCAATGCAAACGGAGATATCGTCTTTTAAAATTCTGGCAGTTTAATACCTACAAAAAACGGCTCATAGGGTAGGGTTGTGCCGATAGATGATAGTATCGTGTATCGACGATAGTCAGAGATATCGCCTGTGGCTGATGCCTTTGTCGATAGCAAGACGATTATTATTATTAATAATATTATTGTTATTATTATTATTATCAGGCTAGTAATACTATCTAATTCATATTAGGGCATATTGGTTGCATTATATTTCTTTTTCCGCGTTTTTACAGTATTGCGCGTTTTAACCAATCACACACGATTATGCTGAGCTTTTGAATGCAATGACCAATCAGAGGCGTTCAGATGAGTCATCACTGAAACAGCGGAGTTCTGT